GAAGGGAGAGGAGGAGAGAAAGAGGGAGAGGGCATTGTTTGAAAAGAGCCATGGGCTTCTACCAGGGGTACAGGAGGACCCCACAGCCCAGCCTCACTGACTCCTCCCCCTGCTCCAATCCCCTGCCCAGGCCCCACTGGTGAGCGCATCAAAGGCTGAAGGTCAGAAAGCTGTGACAGAGCAACTTCTGGGGCAGTGAGCGGTGCAGAGAGGAGACAGCAGGTCTGAGAAGTGGGGCCCAAGCTGCTGAATGAATGTAGGGACAGTGGCGCTGGCAGATCTGGGTTCGGGCTCTCACCCAGCAGGAGGAAACGCACAAGTTTGGGGGCCTCAGGGAACGCAGAACCATATGCCGTGGTTCCCCATGGAGGACACCAGGCACACAGCAAAAAGTCAATCATGCGGCGAGAGCTGCAGGAGAGAGGGATGAAGGGGACCTGCAGGTGCAGACGTGGAAGCCTGAGGGCCAGATGTCCGCGAATGCCCATCACCCTGCATGGCTCTCATTTCTCATCTGGGCTTGGTGAAGAAAGGAGGCTCTGCAGATCTCAGGTGAGTCTCCCAAGGCCGGGGAGTGATGGATGTGGGATCTGAACCTGCAGCTACCTGCACCTGAAGCTTATGAGTTTCCCATATTGCAGGATAAACTCCTCTGCGCATGAATGTCATGGTTCATACAGTTCTAAGGCAAACGTGGCTGCATCCTGATGCAACTGGGGCTCCGAAGTACCCCAAAGTATGCACCTGAACACAGAGGGACTTGAGCTAAAAAAAAAAAAAAAAAGATTGAGAGAGCTTCAGAAGTGAGTTCTCCCTGCCTTCCTGTCTCCCTGGATTTCTCCCCCAAAGTGAATCACAGAAACCAGGTTCCTCTTCCCCAAGGTGGATCATAGGAACTAAAAGCCTCTCCTTCCAAACCAGGCTTAATACCTAGGAAAGTTGTCCCTCCCTTACTGCCTCAGTGTATTCCTCACTGTAAGGGGCTCCTACCCTATTCCAAGGAGGACCGAGACAGGGCTGCTGTGCAGAGGGGCCAGGAGGATCCTGATGGGTCCCCTCGGTCTATGGTCATCGGATCAGACCCTTTATCCAGCCACAGAACTGCGCAGCTATTCGGCCAGCCTAAGTTTGAAAATAGTTCCCTGGATCTTTGACTATTCCTTTATAAAATCTCCACTGTCATGTAAAACTCTGAGTAGATAAACTTGTTATGCCTTTCTCTTGTTACTCTGTCCCTTGTTTAGGAGCGTGGCTCTGACCCTCATGATGGAAGAGGAAAGTGTCATACCTTTCCAGTCCTACACAGCCATTAATATGCTTTATTTTACAAAGCATTAACAAAACCATCTCTTCGGTGCCAAATTCAGAGCTCCAGGTCCTGGAAGAAGCAAGTTGTGATTCATTTAGTAACCCCATTGGTGTGCTTCAACATTTGAAATAAAATGGGCAAAGTGCTTTTGTGTGCTATAAAAGAAGCAACAGCTGGAGAGCATAAAAAGGCTGCATTGTAAAATGCACTTCTATTTATAATTATTGGCATTTGCGCCTTAATGGAAAATGAAAATCCTAAGGCTTAATATACCGAATTCCTCTCGAGAGAGAGCTAGTGGTAAATCAAACCTACCTTGGCAACCTGACTCCATTCTTGAACTGCCTGAGTTTCCAGTGGCCCTGAAATCTTTGAGATGATTTGGACCTCAAGGGACTCTCCTTCTCTTTCTTAATTAAGAAGTGACTCTTTGGCTCCCTCCTACAAGAAGCTTTTCCTGCCTGGTGCAGCCACCAGTGATTTGCCTACCAGAGGGCTGTGCCTATTTTTGCAAAAGGCATGTTTTCAAAGGATAATTACATTTTTTATTGCCTGTTCCTCCAAAAACAAGTTACAAAGGGCAAGATGCTACCCCCATTTGAAAGACAAGGAAGCTGAGTCTGAGAGACATTTAAGAGGCTTCTCCAATAAGGCCACACAGTGTGATAATGGCCAGGGCAGAGCTTGAAGCAGGAGGACTAATGTGGCCACACACCCTGTTTCTCACGGGTCATCTCAGGACTGCTTCCTGTAGCCGTGTAATTATTAATAGCACCCCGTGACAGCCTGCAAAGAGGCCCGGTTTGAACTGTAAATATAAAAGGTGAGAGGGCAAGGAAGATATATATATGAGGATTCCCTGGAATTAGAGTACTGACATGAACTCACAGTTCCTAAAATGTATGTGAGGGTTTGGACCTAAAAGGCTCCCCACAGCCACATGTTGAAGCTTATTTGCCAGTTGATGGGTTGGGGGAAGGGATTAGATCGTAAGGACTCTAACTCATCAAGAGGATTAATCCACTGATGAGCTCATTAGCTGAATGGACTGTTAGGAAGTGGGGTGTAGTTGGAGGAAGTGCGTCATGGGGTTGTAACCTTACAGATTTTATTCTGTCCAGCCCATTCCTCTCTAGCTAGTGCTCTCTCTTCCTGCTCCCCCTGCTTCCTGCCTTCAATAAGGTGAGCAGTTTTGCTCTGCCATATCCTTTTCATCTACTTCTGCGTAGCAATGGAGCCTGCCAGCCATGGACTGAAACCCCTGAAACCATGAACCAAAATCAGTCTTTCCTCCTTTAAATTGTCATTCTAAAGTATTCTAACACAGTGCCAAAAAGCTGAACGATGCTGTGTGTGTGTGTGTGTGTGTGCACATCCGTGAGTGTGTCTGCTGAACATACCTAGAAGCAAGGACAGCCCAGAAGCAATGCACATATCCAGCACCCAAAAACTTGCCCACTCCCCAAACATTTCCCATTAAAAGGAACCTGAGCTCTTTAGAGAAGTTGCTGACTTTGTGGCTGGAGCAGGGGAGGTATATAGAGTGCATGAAACATTTAGTTACACCAGAAAATAGTACAAAATTTCCTTTGGGAATATGTCAAAAGAAATGATTCCCACTGACTAAATTTGGGACTTTTTGAGCATCGAAATTATTAGAGATGGTAGTGAATTATAAACTACCAGGAAGGTCAGGAATCTGTGAGTCCATGCTATTGAAAGATGAAGCTAACTAAATAAAAGCAAAAAATAAAGAACTGAGGGGAGTTCCTTATGTACAGTAGACTGTAAACTACCAACTCACAAAACTAAAAGTGGTAGATTTGTAACATCATCATTTTAGTTCAAAGTGAAAATAAACCATTGCATTAGTCACTTCCCCATTCCTGAGACATACTACAGGACACCCACAACTTAAGGGCATACAAGCTTACTTGGCTCAGTTTTTAGTGGGTTCAGGCCAAAGCTGGCTTGCTCCAAAGATACAGGATGGCGGAAGGGCATGGCAGAGGAAGCTATGTATCCCCGAGTAGCCAGGAAGCAGAGAGAAAGGAGGAGCCAGCAACAAGAATGCAACTTTCACATCAGATCCCACTGACTCCCAATCAAGCCCTGCCTCCTAACAGTTGGTAAAGATCAGTTCAGGCAAAAGTAATCAAAGAAAGCTAAGTACCAGGGTAGCTTGGGATGAGTGATTGGATATCTGTGATCTATCAAAAGACAAAATTACAACAATTTATCTTAAAGGTGTTGATAGGCACTGATTGCGATTCTAGACTCAGGAAACACTTTGTTCTATAAAATAGAATCCGTTTTCCAAGGAACCAAGCAGATGTAAGTTTTATAGAAAGAAAGGGGATGAAGAGAGAAGAGGCAAAGATCATAAAATGGACTGGTCATTTCAAAGTTGTTTTCCTTGTAAGGTGGAGATGGGAGCATAGAACAATTTTTTAAAAAATGATTGCTTTACACAGGTTTTCTCCATTCCCCTGTTTTTGTGTAAGGATCAAGGCAAAGGGAATGTCATTACCATCACATGGAAATTTTGCTTTTGTTTTTCTGATTCCTCGGGTGGTCAATAGATTAACAATTTCCAGGTGGCATCGTAGAAATCTACCATTTGCATTGGTGAGTGATTCCATTTTTATCCTTAGCCTGGTCTGTTGGGGCCCAGTGTAGGTGCTTAGCCCAAAACAATGGCTTCGTGGAATTTTTATTTTGTAGATCTGTAAATGTCTCCACACAAAATGATTTTTAAATACAACAGAAAAATAGCTCCTGCACCGTGGTGAACCCAAACCATGCTTCAATGAGGTGATGAAAATGAACACCTGTGAGGAGGTGCAGCTGGACATCTCCAGGTGGGCTGACCTCAGAGGGATACAACATTGCCACAGGGCAAGCTGACAGCAGATGCTGAGTCCAGCCTCAGCAGAGAAGCCCCATGAGTGACCACGGTCTGGAAGGGAACTACTCAAGAACATCAGGTGCCTTGAGGCAAGAGCATTGCGGGTTAAAGGAGAGCCACCCTAGCATGCACCTGTAACCCAGCTGCTGCAGAAGCCTAGTCAACTTAGCAAGGCCCTGTCTCACAATAAAATCTCAAAAAGGGGTGAGGATGTTGCACCGTGGTAGAACACTTGCCTAGCATGAGTGAGGCCCTGGATTCCATCCCCATTGACAAATTCATTGGTAAATGAAGGGGACTAAAGGGGATTGGGAACTGACAGCTAAGCATAATCCTGGACAGGATCCTGTGACAGAGGAAAAAGTGCTACAGAGAACTCTGCTGGGTCAGTGGACACATTAAAATGTTTGCTAAAAGTTTAGATTCCAGTTAGAACACTAGATTGCTGTGGATAAATTATGTAGTCCCTCTGTGTGTCAGACAGGATTCTCTGGAGAAACTGATCCAACAAAGAGAAGGAAAGAGAGGGGAGATTCATTTTAAGGAGCTGACTTGTGTGATAGGGAAAGCTTGGCATTTCCAAAAGTAGGCAGACAGCTGGAAACCCAGAGCAGAATGCAGTGCAAGCTCAAAGGCAGCCTGAGGCTGAATTTCCACTTCTGGGGAGGTCAGTCTCTTCCATGAAGGCCTTCAACTGATTGAGGTCCACTCACTTTAGAGAAAGTAATCTGGATTCACTAAAAGTGTATTGATTTAAATGTTAAACTCATCTTTTAAAATGCCTTCAGCCAGCTGTGGTATTGTATGTCTGTAATCCCAGCACTCTGGGAGGCTGAGGCATGAGGATTACAAATTTGACACCAGCCTGTGCAAGCTGGCTACCTAGTGAGACACTGTCTCAAAAAATAAAAAAGGACTAAGGATGTAGCTCGGTGTAAAGACCCTGGGTTCAATCCCCAGTACCACCCCCCCAAAAAAAAATCCTTCACAGAAAATATCAGTACTAATGTTGGATCCAGTAACTGTATGCTATGGGCCAGATAAACAGACACATAAAATTAACCAAAACACCATATGTTGAACCAAAGTAGAAGAGATGGAATTCTCTGGGCTTTCCTGTCCACAATCTTTAGTGGACAAGTCATTAAAAATTACTTCCTGGGACTGGGAGCCGCCATCACTCCAGCACCAGGAGGGCTGCCTGGGCCCTGATCCACCGTGGGAAAGATAGCCATGCCTTCCCCCACTGGGAGCCGCCATTGCTCCAGCACCAGGAAGGTAGCCACACGGGTGACCCTGAACCCCCACAACTCCCCTACACCCCCTCACAGCACACTCTCAGACCTCCTGATTGAGCCAGTCTTTGGACCCACTCTGCAGAAGCAGACGTGGTCATAGAGGGTATTTTTCTGAGTTCCCAACATTGAATATCTTTAAAGAAAAGGCGTGGGAAACCTGTAGTAGAACAGTGTGGAGTTCAACCGTTCAGAAGGTTGGGGAACTCAATCTGGGCCTTGCAGCCCGAGGTCAGTCTGCATCATGGGGTTCAGCCATCAGCTAACTGAGATCAGGGGTCTTCCATCCTCGCTCTGTCTGAGCCATTAAATGGTTAATATACTATATTGAAAAGTTTGTTCACTGCAGACATGTTTTGGACTGCTTCTTGATTTCAATTTAATTCAAATGGTTTAAGGGTGATAGACTAGTGACTACCACAGGTGGTCAGTTTCCAAGTTGTGCTTGATCGTATTGTGTTGCTGGTTGGGATAAAGGATTGTGGTGGATTCGATAAGCTGTTTTCTCTGAAGTTACGGAGATGAGAATGTCTGTGGGTCGTTAGAGACCCAGAAGCTAGGGAGCAACTATACCAGGAAGATTTGGGTGATAACTCAGAGATTAATCCAAGGACAGCTGGACAACAAAAATAAAAATGAGAAAACACTTAAGCAAGACACAAAGACAGACTTCCAGTTCACCAATGGCAAACAGTAGGACAAATGAGGATAAAAAGGCCAATAGTGAACCACCAGGACACCTGAACTCAAAGCACAGGAAGTAACAAAACAGATCAATCAGGCTCTAGAAAAATTCAAAACAGAAATAATTTCCCAAATAACCATAGAGATGGTGAGCAAAATGAAACTCGTGATTCAAGACTCTAGAACAGAAACTGACAAAAAAAAATAGATGAGCTCAGCACCACGATAGAAGCCATGAAGGCCCAGCATAAGAAAGAAATGGAAACAATAAATGCCCAACATAGGAAAGGAATGGAATCCATAAAACAGATTCAGTTATCCAGGATATTAAACACTCCATTGAAAGTATACACAACAGAATAAAAGAATGCGAAGATAGAATCTCAGATATAGAAGATAAGATTGCAGTCAGTGACCCTGAAAAGAGAAGTCTCTTAAAAACAGTAGAGGATCATGAGAAATCGATCCAGCAACTCCTAGATGATGCAAAGAAGAATAACATAAGACTGATAGAAATCCATGAAGTAGCAGGAGAAAATATAAATGACTTTAAAAAGCTGTTCACAGAATTAATGACAGAAAACTTCCCAAACAGAGGGGAAGAATTAGACATTCAGATAAGTGAGGCATATAGGACTCCAAAAAGCCACAATCAAAAAAAAATCTACACCTAGACATATAATAATCAAGATCCCAGAAATCCAACAGAAGAACAAAATACTACAAGCAGTAAGAGAAAAGAAACAAATCACATGCAAAGGAAAGCCCATCAGAATCACAGCAGACTTTTCAACACAAACCCTTAGGGCAAGGAGAGCCTGGAGTGAGATATTTCAAGTACTAAAAGAGAACAATCTCCAACCTAGACTGATGTATCCTGCAAAACTCTCTTTCAAAACGGATGGGGAAATAAGATACTTCCACAACAAAGAACACCTGAGAAACTACATGAATACCAAAGCAGCACTACAAGCAATTCTAAACAATATCCTATAAAAAGACAATGAAGGTAACAACACCATGAGGCCCAACAGAGCAAATCAAATAGGCAAGGCAAGAAACTAAAAGGAGAAGGTGAAAAAGTAAAAAGAGTCAACAAAAGGCCATAACAGGACAATAATAAGTCAGTACATATCAGTTATAACCATCAATGTCAATGGCCTCAACTCACCAATCAAGAGAACTAGACTGGCAGAATGGAATAAGAAGCAAAAATCCAACAATATGTTGTATACAAGAAACACACCTATTGCAAAAAGAAGCCCATAGACTGAAAGTGAAAGGATGGAAAACAATTCTCCATGTGACAGGAGCCCAGAAAAAAGGCAGGGGTAGCAATCTTATTTGCAGACAAAGTAAATTTCAAACCAAAAGTGATTCTAGTATTATAGATGTAGAACAGTACTGTATCATACCTCTGTGAATGTAAATTATCTTGTACCTGCTTTATGATACGTAGTAGTGACCGTGATTTATCAGAGCTATTTTTAATGATGTTATGCTACAATGTTCTCTCTCCAGATGATGATTAAGATGCTAATTTTAAAAAAAGTGGTGCCAGGTATCACAACAGCAACAGAACTTTGCTGTTTTCTGGGTATTATTCTTCTCTTTGGTTTTTTGTTTTTATTTTTTTTAATGGAGTGTGCTGAATGTCTATAATTTTGTTCAGATGACTGCAGAATCTGGAAAAGCTGTTGCTGCTAATGATGCATAACATACTGCTATTATTGGTCTTTTTATATAAATATAAATACACACACACACACGCACACACACATATATGTGTGTGCGTGTGTGTGTGTAAAATTTGAATTTTTGGAAACTTTAACTGTGCTGTTGACTTTGGAAAAAGTTATCCCAATTTACTTGTTGAGTTGGCATTGTACAGAAATTAACAGCCATATTGGTCTAGAAATGTTAATTTTTTTTTTCCATTTCTACAGGGGTAATGTACTGTGTTAAATATGTAAGGTCATATCTATGTGGGTTTGATTACAGAAACTAATAAAGTATTCTCTAAATAATGAAAAAAACAGAATAATATAAGACTGCAAGAGCAAGAAGCAACTTAAATATGTTCAAGGACCATTTTCATCTTCAGAATTAAGGATTATTTTAATTTTACATTATTGCCTTTTCTCTTTTACTTTCCTTTTTAGTTGTATTTTAGGATTCCCTATTTTTAATGTTCATATAGAGATTTCTTTAACTGAAATATCAAATAGTTTCTCTGGTGTGAAAAACTATAATAGTACATGAGGTCCTAATGAGATAATTAATAATGTGAAATAGGAAGTAAAGGGCTAAAGGTGTAGGGAAAGTGGGAAGGGTAGGGGAAAGGTAATAAGGGAGAGGAAAAAAATATGAGAGAATGAAAAAATGTAAATAAAGTGTTTGTAAATGGGGAGGGGAGGAGGGGGTGAAGGGAGGGCAGGGACAAGGGGAAAAAATGAGAATCAAGACCTATCATGTAAAGGTACAGGATCCCAATAATGAATGTAATTGTATTGTATACCTAGATTGTACCAATAAACTCAATAAAAATTTTAAAAAATAATTACTTCCTGGGCCAGGGATTTAGCTCAGTTGTGCCACTGCCTGCCTCACAAGCGCAAGGTTCCAAGTTCAATCCCTGATGCAAAAAAAAAATTACTTCCTTCACAGCCAGTACATAGGTCTTTAAGAAAAGAAAGGAGGAAGGAACACCATGTTTTTCAACATAAATATCACGACACAATCTCACTTCCCAAAGAAGAGCTGAACACAGAGCTCCAATGCAAGGGACAGGTGAGGCCACGGTAATGGCAGCAGCTGAAATAACATCTTATCTTGAGCCATGAAGGGCACTGGCATCAGAACGTAACTCAGCAAACAAAATACAATCAGAAGTGGCCCTCCCTTCACCCGCAGTTCATCTGAAAAGCTACCAACACCTACAGTTTCTAAGTGGCATGTTCATGATAGACAATTCTCGAGAATCATTAACACTGGGCTAGGTCTCTTGATGTGGAAAAGTCATCAGTGTAGCAAAACTGATCAAGATCTGCCTGGGCTCTGCCACCAAACAGACCTGGGATCAAATTCTAGCAAGGCTGCTTGTCGGCTATGTGCTGTTACATGAGTTATTCAATATCTCGAAGCCAAACTATCTCTAGCTGTAAAAGGTGATCAAAGTAATTCTGGTCAGTGAGGTCATTTTATGATACCATTTTCTTTTGTGAAGTTCATACATATTTGAAAAGAGTTGGGAATATATTTTTCTAATATTTTATGTGCTTTGCACAACTGAATGTATTAGGAAAAATGTCAGTGCAGTTAGCTAAATAAATTTTAAAATTATAAGTTCATATAGAAAGTTCCAGAAGAATACACTCTACCATTACCATCTATAGATTGAGAATGTGGGGAAGGAAGAGGTAAGAAAACTTGCAATTTTTTTTGCTTTACACATTTAAATAATATTTGAATATTTGAATAATATTTGAAAAGTATGTATATGTTGTTTCTTTAATTCCAACAAAAACGATAAAGAGGAAATATAAGGAAATGTAATTAACATCTGCCTTCAGTGACTAAGGATATTTGTAGCGAATGATGGCCCTGACCATCCTGCCTCCCTTAACTGAGTTCTCTGAAAGACTTCAACATCACTCAGGCATTTTTCTCTCTGAAATACTCAGCTTTAATAAAATTCTGAGTAGAAGCATGACCATGAGTCACAATTACAGGAAGGTTTTATAGACATTATGTAAAAATTACCTGGCAACTTGGCTAAAACTTGCTCACATGGGCATGATTCACTTAAAACCATCACCGGGTGGGCAAGGTGCACAGCACGAGCCTTGCCTTCTTCTGCACCCGTGATCTCCCTTGTCCACATCCAGGGCCTTTGAAGAAATCTGACCACAGTTCACACAGCTTCCCATGACGCTGTTCCGGTCCGACCCCTGGCACTCAGGTCCCTTCCTGTGTTCTGCCGCAAGGGAAGTCACATTCTGAAGAATTTTTTTCCCTGCATTCAAGAGTTTGTAGAAAACTACATCAAGCGCAGTTTTATAGGGATAGTAGCCCTGCAGGTGGTAATCTGGACACACTGACCAAGAGAGTCACATTTATATCCCCGCCCTTCCATCTAACCCTTCTCCCCTGTATTTTCAATAATATCTCACTGTATCAGAATTCTACCTGGAGCTCCTATAGTACCTCAGGCCTTCCTTGGGCATCCTCTACTTTCTATGAGACATTTCATCTGCCTTT